TGATGATGATGATCATCATCATCATCATCATCATCATCATCATCATCATCATCATCATCATCATCATCATCATCATCATCATGTCAAGAAAGGGACTTTCTGATCATGAGGCAAGGTTGATTGCCGGATATGCTTGGCTCGGGTGGGCTCACTGTGGCGAGTTCTTGCTGCGCACACGACTTTGCAGCCTTTCGAGATCAAAGTTTGACCTGGCGCCGAGGGGTGCTCCAATGGTTCAAAACGGGTATTGGGCGGAGTGGAGCAGAACGACATCCTTCACAAGCTGGAGGCGGCAAGCAGTCTTCGGTGAGGATCTGTTGGGTTCTCCTGGAGCTGACGGCGTGACCAAGGATTTGCCGTGCACGATCAAGCGACACGATTCAGGTGCGGCTCAATTGTGTGATGTTGGAGCAAGCAGGGCTTCATGGCGGTTGGCGATTGGCGGCTTGACTACGCCAGTGAGAGATCTCTAAGCAAGCTCTTCCAAATGGGTCGATCATGAAGGAGTCCTCTCACCGGTGGAGCTTGTGACTGCACATCACGCCGCCAGTGGGTTGGGCAGAGAGCCTAATCAATGATGCTGAAAGCACTTCCAGAGTCGTTCTCAAGTCGGAAGTACTGGCAACAAGGGCCACGTCGACGGAGATGGTGTTCTGGATCTTCACACGGTATCAGGAGGTCTTGAGGAGCGGGCTCACGTCAATTGAGCCGGGAAATCCGGCCTCGGGGAAGCGTTGGAACAGCTTCGTTTGGAAGCGCTGGCTGAAAGAGCTGCAGATCTCCGGCGCCGGACTCGCCGGACTGACTGGCGGCGCTGAAGGGCGTTGCACTGCTTCCCTCCCCCTTTGTGAGCATGCCGCACCAAGGTGTCAGAAAGGAATCTGGGCTTGTGTCAAAATAGGGGACCCCAAAATGGTGGGTCTTGCTCTTGGTTCCCTTTATTACAACCAAAATTACGGCACCCTCAAAGAAAGACGCACTGTCTAGGTGCAAAGCGCGACCAGCCCCAAGGGTTAGTATCACGTTCAGGTGCTAAGTGGGCTTGCTTTTGCAGGGTTCTTATCATGTGCAGGCATGTTTGCAGCGCTGACTGAGCGGGGGGTCTTCTCCATGCGCAGGCATATTGAAATGCTGGCCGGATGCCAGCACTAAGAACGCAGCGATGATGCGTTTGGACGGCAGGCGTCTACCATCCCGATATCATTGTCAAACTCATTGCCACGAGGCGCCATTAGACCAGGCGCCAAAATGCGCCGATCAGCTTGCCAGCACCCCTGCCTGCAGCAAGGAGCCGCCGCGTCACTCACAGCCCTCATCCAAGTCCCATTTGCAGTTGGTCTTCCAGGCGCATTTGGCACCTCGGCGAAATGCCGGATCCAACTTGCGCCAGTGGGCCAAATGCAGGCATCATTGGCACAAGGGACAGAATATCGTGTTCCGTGTGACCAGGGAGTGACAGTAGAGAGCAGTCTGGCGCATCATAATAGCAATCAAAAAACGTGCTCTCAACGAGCAGCATCTCTAGTTCAAACAATCGACCTAGATGCGTTGCGGCCTGATCAATCACCTTGCCTGAAGCCGGTATTGATAGGACATTACCCAGCTGCAGGCTGCTAACAGTACATAGAATGCGCTGGTTCTCTGCCTCTCCTAGCCTTCTGTTTCTTTGCCTCCTAACTGTTTGGCGCTGCCGCGCAAGCACAAATCAACATTAGAAGCTGCGCTTGCACTCTCACAACTCCAGTTTGCTGTCGCAGCGCCAAGGCGCTGAATCTTGCCTATTGCATTGTCATTCACTCGAGCATTGTGCATCACTTTGAGCAAGCCGACTTGTCAAAAGAAGAGCAAAGGGAAGCTCCGTGGTACTCAAAATTAGGACTAAATAGGTAGCGCAGCGCTGTCTTGAATGAACAAATGTCATGCATCAAACACATGCAGAGAACGAGGAAATACGAGATTCTGGGTAGGACGATGCAGAAACAGCATAACCCTGTGCCCTTCGAAGGGTGCTTGGTTGCAGCTCGTTTCTTTGCTATTCAATTCGCTCACGCAACCTGTGGATCAACCCCAACACCTCACAGTTGTTGTCTTATTCTCACCTTGGCTCGCGAACTGTGCCCACCGTGTTTGCCATTTACTTGTACCGAACAGTGGTGGAAAACACCAAGCCAAAGGGTCATTTTTTGTGGTTGGTCTGAAATCCCTCAACGTCAGAATCCTTTGGCCACGGTGCGGCAGTAGGGCAATTGCCACATCGGAAGCGGCGGAACGCATCCGTCGACATCGCAGTCATTGCTCTTTGTCACCTGCACCAACACTCACGGACTAATCACCCCCGGCCTTTCCCCACGACTTTGAGATTGGATGAGGGCAGCAAGAAAGGATATACATCCCTTTTGGTTATGAAGGAAAGCCTGGGCTTGTGTCGAACAACGGACCTCTTGCGGGCAAGCTCCCCAACATGAATCAACTGGTGATCACAATCTCGTCGGAAGCTTCGTCTGGCACTTTCCCAGCCTGCGGCATGGCCCCCGTTCGCACCTGCAGCAAGGAGCCGCCGCGATACTCACAGCCCTCATCCCCGTCCCAGCTGCAGTTGGTCTTCCAGGCGCATTTGGCACCTCGGCAAAATGCCGGACCCAACTTGCGCCAGTGGGCCAAACGCAGGCATCCTTGGCACAAGGGACGGGACATCGTGTCCCGTGTGACCAGGGAGTGACAGTAGAGAGCAGTCTGGCGCATCATAATAGCAATCAAAAAACGTGCTCTCAACGAGCAGCATCTCTAGTTCAAACAATCGACCTAGATGCGTTGCGGCCTGATCAATCACCTTGCCTGAAGCCGGTATTGATAGGACATTACCCAGCTGCAGGCTGCTAACAGTACATAGAATGCGCTGGTTCTCTGCCTCTCCTAGCCTTCTGTTTCTTTGCCTCCTAACTGTTTGGCGCTGCCGCGCAAGCACAAATCAACATTAGAAGCTGCGCTTGCACTCTCACAACTCCAGTTTGCTGTCGCAGCGCCAAGGCGCTGAATCTTGCCTATTGCATTGTCATTCACTCGAGCATTGTGCATCACTTTGAGCAAGCCGACTTGTCAAAAGAAGAGCAAAGGGAAGCTCCGTGGTACTCAAAATTAGGACTGAATAGGTAGCGCAGCGCTGTCTTGAATGAACAAATGTCATGCATCAAACACATGCAGAGAACGAGGAAATACGAGATTCTGGGTAGGACGATGCAGAAACAGCATAACCCTGTGCCCTTCGAAGGGTGCTTGGTTGCAGCTCGTTTCTTTGCTATTCAATTCGCTCACGCAACCTGTGGATCAACCCCAACACCTCACAGTTGTTGTCTTATTCTCACCTTGGCTCGCGAACTGTGCCCACCGTGTTTGCCATTTACTTGTACCGAACAGTGGTGGACAACACCAAGCCAAAGGGTCATTTTTTGTGGTTGGTCTGAAATCCCTCAACGTCAGAATCCCTTGGCCACGGTGCGGCAGTAGGGCAATTGCCACATCGGAAGCGGCGGAACGCATCCGTCGACATCGCAGTCATTGCTCTTTGTCACCTGCACCAACACTCACGGACTAATCACCCCCGGCCTTTCCCCACGACTTTGAGATTGGATGAGGGCAGCAAGAAAGGATATACATCCCTTTTGGTTATGAAGGAAAGCCTGGGCTTGTGTCGAACAACGGACCTCTTGCGGGCAAGCTCCCCAACATGAATCAACTGGTGATCAAAATCTCGTCGGAAGCTTCGTCTGGCACTTTCCCAGCCTGCGGCATGGCCCCCGTTCGCACCTGCAGCAAGGAGCCGCCGCGATACTCACAGCCCTCATCCCCGTCCCAGCTGCAGTTGGTCTTCCAGGCGCATTTGGCACCTCGGCAAAATGCCGGACCCAACTTGCGCCAGTGGGCCAAACGCAGGCATCCTTGGCACAAGGGACGGGACATCGTGTCCCGTGTGACCAGGGAGTGACAGTAGAGAGCAGTCTGGCGCATCATAATAGCAATCAAAAAACGTGCTCTCAACGAGCAGCATCTCTAGTTCAAACAATCGACCTAGATGCGTTGCGGCCTGATCAACCACCTTGCCTGAAGCCGGTATTGATAGGACATTACCCAGCTGCAGGCTGCTAACAGTACATAGAATGCGCTGGTTCTCTGCCTCTCCTAGCCTTCTGTTTCTTTGCCTCCTAATTGTTTGGCGCTGCCGCGCAAGCACAAATCAACATTAGAAGCTGCGCTTGCACTCTCACAACTCCAGTTTGCTGTCGCAGCGCCAAGGCGCTGAATCTTGCCTATTGTATTGTCATTCACTCGAGCATTGTGCATCACTTTGAGCAAGCCGACTTGTCAAAAGAAGAGCAAAGGGAAGTTCCGTGGTACTCAAAATTAGGACTGAATAGGTAGCGCAGCGCTGTCTTGAATGAACAAATGTCATGCATCAAACACATGCAGAGAACGAGGAAATACGAGATTCTGGGTAGGACGATGCAGAAACAGCATAACCCTGTGCCCTTCGAAGGGTGCTTGGTTGCAGCTCGTTTCTTTGCTATTCAATTTGCTCACGCAACCTGTGGATCAACCCCAACACCTCACAGTTGGTGTCTTATTCTCACCTTGGCTCGCGAACTGTGCCCACCGTGTTTGCCATTTACTTGTACCGAACAGTGGTGGAAAACACCAAGCCAAAGGGTCATTTTTTGTGGTTGGTCTGAAATCCCTCAACGTCAGAATCCTTTGGCCACGGTGCGGCAGTAGGGCAATTGCCACATCGGAAGCGGCGGAACGCATCCGTCGACATCGCAGTCATTGCTCTTTGTCACCTGCACCAACACTCACGGAATAATCACCCCCGGCCTTTCCCCACGACTTTGAGATTGGATGAGGGCAGCAAGAAAGGATATACATCCCTTTTGGTTATGAAGGAAAGCCTGGGCTTGTGTCGAACAACGGACCTCTTGCGGGCAAGCTCCCCAACATGAATCAACTGGTGATCAAAATCTCGTCGGAAGCTTCGTCTGGCACTTTCCCAGCCTGCGGCATGGCCCCCGTTCGCACCTGCGCCTGGCTGTGCTGGCGCACCTGGCTCGGCATTTGATCGGCTCGGCAAACCACTCGCTATTCTCCGAATCTCTATCATCCACCTGGACCTTTGCTGTCTTGCTCGAGTCTTCTTCAATGTCGTATGTGTTGGAAATACAGCTTTCTTTATTATGAATGGTTTTCTTACACTTGACATTGCAGACGTGAGTGCTTATGCGCAAGCATTAAATCGGATAAAACAACTGGAAGACGAGTGGCCCGAAAAGCATTTTCCCTGACACGCAACCTGAATCGGTCCATTATATCCATCCATGAATTTCACTGTCTACTTTCCCTACACGTGCCTCTATGCATTTCACTGTCTACTTTCCCCGCACAGGCATCTATGCACTGCACTCTGTACTTGCCCTATGCGTGCCTCTATGCAGTTCACTGTCTACTTTCCCTGTGCATGCATCTATGAACTTCACTCTGCACTTTCCCAGCACATGCCTTTATGCATTTCACTGTCTACTTTCCCTCTGTGTACCTCTATGCATTTCACTGTCTACTTTCCCTGCGCACGCATCTATGCACTTCACTCTGTTCCTGCCCTATGCATGTCTCTGCGCATTTCACTGTCTACTTGCCCTATGCATGCCTGTATGCATTTCACTGTGCGCTTTCTCTACGCGTGCCTCTATGCATTTCACTGTCTACTTTCCGACTTTGCAGCCGGAGCTGCGGGGACGTACTTCCCGTACTACTTTTGCACTTTAGAGTTGCGACTTCGCAGCCTGATCCCTGCAGGCGGTCGCGCGCAGACCACGAAGATTCACACGGGACCACAGCAAGGGCGATCTAACACGCACAATCCCCGCAGAGGGTCGCGCGGCCCCCGCAGAGGGTGAAAAACCTCGAGCCTTTGCACGACCACGCCGATCGCCGGAGGGTCGCGCAGGCACCGCAGAAATAGCAAACAAAAACCCTGTTCACCTCCACCACGCCGATCCCCGCAGAGGGCCGCGCGCTGCCCGCAAGAAACAAAAAAACCTCAGTTGTTGCACATCGACCACGCCGATCCCCCGCGGAGGGTCGCGTGCGGCCCTCAAGAATGGTTTTGCACATCGACCACATCGATTCCTGAGAGGGTCTGATTGTCGCAGAGCCCACATGGTCCCACCGCGCCGCCTTAAGATGCGCGCTTCTCTTACATGCTACCCGTTTGGCTTGGGTGGTTCTACATGTCTGAACAACTCCCTCAATGCACATTGTCACCTTCATAAGCGAATGACAGTGCCAATGTCAGCTCTGACAATCACTCGCAAGCAAATTGTGGTGTTCTGCTTATGTTCGCCATCCTTCCTTGCCTCCGTTGATCTTGGCACAAGCAGCGGCTTGGAAGGTGTCACCACTCATACTATAGTGATCCTGATCACATCTAGATATCATGACCTATGCCGATCACCATCTTGAAACGCATCCTGCATTTTTCCATTTGGACGCTCCAAATTGCCCCTGGCACCTCGGCCATGCGCGAGCCACCAGCGACCAAGAAGCAAGAGGCCAGGATCAGGAACATGGCCTGCCAAGTGCTTGGCGACCAGTTTTCGGTGACAACATCATGGTCCGCGGTCGCGCGTCTGTGTGCGGAAGCATTCTGGAATCTTATATTTCACCATCCATAATTATCTTTCCTCCAAGGTCGTGATCGTCGCTTGCCCAGTCTCATGTGGGTTGGGGAACTGCCCGCTGAACCTCGGCGCGCAAACCTAGCACCGACCTGATTCCTGTTGTTCAAGAGGGAAGGCTATGTGCCTTTCCACAATTTTCCTGGGAATGAATTCTGAATGTTCAACTTCTGCAATTCTGGGGCAGTTCATTTCAATAAAAGAAGAAGCAAAAACGTTCAAAGGATGCCGCAGCTTGCCCTTTTGAGGTCCCACTCTGCCCACTGTCTGACTGCGCCTTGCACGTACAAATGTATTTTTGCAAACAAAGCTGCGGAGCTTGAGCCGATGCTCACTGTCGCATGAACGTCGAACATGACGGCTTGTTCAAAGCGACGAGCCAAAGCTGTCGGGCATAGGCGACCAGCAAACCTGTGCAGACCCGCACAACTCACTTATGAACTTATGAATGACACGGCCCTTGTAAGGAGTATCATTGTTGGCCAAAAGATCATTCCCACTTGGTCTACACACACACCGAAACAGCTCAGGCAGGGCATGCCTCAACTTAGACAGCGAATGTCGGAATATTCGAGGACACAATGTCCCGAGTTGAGATAGATTTGTAGCCTTCGCGGAGATCGCCTGCGGAGCTTTACGGCATGCTGTGGCCATGCCAAGTCTTTGCCAAACTCCCGCGGATCCGCTCGGCGCTTGCCGGATCAGAACACAGCGGGCTTTTGCATCACCTAAAGCTCAGGCGACTTCCATCCCTTCAGCTCCACCTGGCCGCCATCCGTACAAAGGAAGGATGGCAAGGAAACATTGATAAACCTGTTCCACTCAGGATGAATCGACAGGTTACACGCTGCCAATGTTTCTCTTCAAAAGCCAGGTCGCGCTACTGCGCGAAGCTTTCATCCTCTAGATAAACATGCGAGGTCCTTAAATGAAATCCAAATCAACACTGCTTCCACATCGCAGGCGGTTCTAGCTTGCTTAGTCAGTCTGTAAAAGGCCTACTCAACGTATATATATATATATGCTGCCTGATGTATGTCACATCGCCAACCTACAATAAACCTGACGGTATTCTGAGACAAAGTCCCTACAACCAATCTGCACACAGTGCGCCAACCATGAGTGTCAAGCGTGTGGCCAGGAAAATTCAGCAATCCCTGAAACTGATTTTGACTTTGTGAGTGACAATGCTGCATGTACTGCTTTCTTGAGCTACTGTATGTTCATGCGCCCAGAACTGGCGCGTCGCTGAAAGCAGGCTAGCCTGATAGAAGTTCAGAACCGGAACAATGAACTGATTGACAAGCCTGCCCTGCATCTACGTGATCGAGTGCAAAGGAAGCACGGCCGTAATTGTGTGAATGACCTATTTCATTAACATCCCTCTTCTAAGGCTACGAATGAGGAGAAGCAAAGTTCCCACGCACGGCCGGGCCAAGCCACGATCTGCGACACTCCTGGGTAGGGTGGAAGCTGAAGCTTGTACTTCTCCTGAGCACGGGCTCGTGGCTGGGTTGAGTGATCGCAAACGAAAGAAGAACGGAAACATCACCAGCTAGCACAGCACCCATCAGCACCCGCCAACCAGCAGTGCCCACCAGCGCTCTGCCCAGCCTGAGCCCGCACCCAGCAGCCCACACCAACATCCTTAGCCTCACCCTGGCCTCCATGTCGAGGAGCAGCTCTCCTTTCTCTTTGTAAGCAAGAACTCCTATAACTTTCAACTAACATCGCAAGCACAGCTGGCGGCAGGCGCTTGGCGCAGGGGCGCGTCGCAACTTCCGACCTCTGTCCTGCGGAAAACGAAAGTCCTTTCAAATCAGGGTTCCTTTGCAGAACTGCGCCTTTAAGACAAATGCAAGAAGGGAGGACTGTAATGGAACTGTAGTGCTGGGAGCCGAAGACATGAAAGCTGCGCTTGAGAAATCAAATTACCACGGCTGTCTGCCTCGAGGGTGACTTCGCTTGCTGTCTTGGCAACGACGGTCGGTGGCGACTCCGACCGTGCGCTGCAGTAAGATTGTTGCTTGGGCTGCTGCCCAGATGCGAGCAAGGGAAATTTGATGTGGCCAGCACCAGGAAGGACACTGCAAGAAGTCGTGGAGGTACTCTAAATAAAATCCGCAAAAGACCCCTCAAACTTGCCAGGGCCTCCCCATTGCTTGCCGGGGCTCCACCAGGCCAGGGGGCACGAAACGGCCGCCTGAGCTGAGCCCCCCAAAAGAGGCCAGATACCTTTTGTCACTGAGATGCATTGTCTACTGGACGAAATACGTGTCCTTTGCCAAGGACAATGAAAAGGCACCCATTTGTTTCTTACCAAACGGGATGGATTCGCCATTCTAGTTCATTTGAGCACTTGCACAAATCCCTCACATGAGCATGCAAGTGGCATCCACGTAAGTCCGGCTTTGCTGCTTGGACGAATATTGTTGAGTTTGCAAACGCCATGGGTCAGCTACACGGGGTTTCGATCCAAATGCACGGATTCTTCCCTTTTGAAACGTCTTCAAACCACGCCCCAGCTCCCTCTCTTTCCCTCTTACCCACCTTTGGAGCCCCCGCGCCTAGAAAGTGTCTGCCCTGGAAGAAGGCTGCCGCTTTCTTGGGCGCCGTCAATGACACCAGCGCCTCCGGCTGCAGGCCTTCACCTGCGCAAAGTTCCTAAAGGGAGAGCTGTAACTCTGCAGAGTTTGGCATGAATTGAAAAACACAGTGGCTGACTTGACATGGGATAAGTAAGACATCGCCTTTGATTGCCACACCGGGAAAATGAAATAAACACCCTGCCACGGGTGTGGCTACGTTTCTATGGTTGCTCCCAAGTGTGTTCACAGCCTCAATTTGTCTGCTTAATTCAAGCAAGCACGTCTGGGAGCAGCAAACGTCGACTTTTCGTGAGCAAAGAACGAGAATCCTAAGTCCGAATGGTTCAAAATGGCAAGGATTTGCCAGTCTCAGCCCTCTATTGCGATGCAGCGCTCTGTGTTGCAAAGCCCCCTCCCGACTTCGGGTTCAAAAGCGAGATGGATCTCCATCATCTCCAAACCCAAGGCGGGAGCCAGCCTGTAGTGTCACCTTTCCTCACAGTGTAGGCGGGCCCTCCCACACTCTCAGAGCAAACTTACAGCACCCCAAAAATGATCCAGGAAAGAAACACAATTGGATCGTTCAACAGCACAATCACCAAGTTCGCGGTGTTTAGAATACACTTGGGATGCCCAATTCGTTGCCGCAACGCAACTCCAACGCACTCCGGGGCCATCATTTCAAGTCGTTTCGAACTTTGATGATCCGCAAAATAGCTGAGCTTTTGCGCAGGCAAATGCCCCCGCCCCCAGCCCCCTCGAGGAGGCAGGAAGTGCCCGCTCACCAAGCGGAATTCGATCCCTTGACCTGCACCTTCAAAAGTAATTGGCATAGTCGGATCCTAGATGTTCACTGGGGACTGCTAAGTGTCTAGGACAGAGGAAGGCTTCCGATCGATCGACTGTTCTGCCAGAAAGCCACAAAATCACGGCGGACCCACCGGAATGCTCCCCAAAAAGCTCAAACTTGGGCTGTCTGCCCTACTCACTTCGCTGCAAAATAATAATCAGGCTGGCTTTTGTGATAAGGGCGGAGTACAACTAAGAACACAAACTATACTGTCACCCCCCATCACTCTCGATTCTAACCCATCCACATTGATTTGGTCGTACAAAGCGCAGTAATCTCAATGTACACACAACCCCCAAACCGGGATCTGAAAAAAACAGCAGAATATAGACATATGGAGCTTGAATGATTCGACAGCATGAAACAATTGGCATGACAATACAGCTAGTTAACACCAAGGTTTTATGGACCAGGGCATTCAGTTTGCGCCTTCCACGAGGGCCAAGCCAGCAGTCGACTGAAAGTGGCGGCTCTGAGAGGCTCTGGTTGCAATGAACCGATCCTCCTGGAATCCTCCTGGCTATTCGCTGCGAGCGGCTCAACATCCCAACCGCTGGGAATGTCCACAGACATCACCTTGATGGAGGACACCTGCAGGGCCTGGCGAGAAGGCAGGGCAGTGTGCAGACTGCGCTCCTCGCGCAACGCGTGAAGGCCTTTGATGGCCCGAACATTACCCCGGCACGAGACCCCAAACAGTGATAGGCGGCGGTCACACGCTGCAGAGTATTGTGCGGGCTCGCCGCAAAACGGCGGTTGTTGTCAGGAAGCTGCAACATCATTTTGCGGTATTTGCGCGCACATTCACAAAGACAAGGACACGGCCTGGAACAGACACGCGCAAGAGAATGCAGCAGACACGTGTCGAAGCCAGCGCCATGGTCGTGTGTGCGTGTGTTTGTGCGTGTGTGTGTGTGTGTGTGTGTGTGCGTGTGTGTGTGTGTGTGTGCAAGCATCACTACAAAAGGCAAGATCTGTGTGTTTGTTTCACCAGAGTGCCTGAGTTAGTGAGTTAGCTAGCTAGGTAGCTTCTTCCTCTGTTCTCGATTGTGGCGCTGTTGCTGTTGCTGTTGCTGTTTTTGGGTGTTGTTGTTCAGAGTACCATCGAGACGCCGTCGCAGCAGAGAAGCACCATCCAAGCATGCCCAAAGAAAGGGAAACAAGCTCGCGCGGACAGGGCGGGAATCGAGCCCGGGACCTTTCGCCGGAAACCCGTGCCGCCGGACCACGAGACAAAACCCCCACGGTCCCCGGAGCCGCCAAAAAAGCAAAAAAAATCGAGTTTGTGCGAGCCTGCGCAATCGAAACGCACTTCAACATCAAGCAAGAGCAAGAGTCTGCGGTAAATACCACGCGAAACGCTCGCGGACAGAAGTCGCCAACTCACTTTGTGCGAGCCTGCGCAATCGAAACGCATTTCAACATCAAGCAAAAGCACGAATCCGCGGTAAATACCACGCAAAACGCTCGCGGCCAGAAGTCGCCAACTCACTTTGTGCGAGCCTGCGCAGTCAAAACGCACTTCGACATCAAGCAAGAGCACGAATCTGCGGTAAATACCACGCAAAACGCTCGCGGCCAGAGCGGGCACCTCAATCTGGCACCAAGGCCTTTTCTCTTACCGTAAGAACCCCTTAGTGTAGACACACTGTTTGGGGAAAAACAAGAACCATCACTGAGCACGGCGTAGCTTATCCTGCACCTTTGTTTGTTTTGCCAACAGGGGAGATGTCGCAGTCGAGCCACCTCAACAGGGAAGGAAGTCCGGCAGTGCATGAAAAAAGAGGTACCCATCCAAAAGGCGGCACAACTCTGGGCCTGGGGTTTTGTCAACTGTTTGATCTTTGGCGGGGTCCTCCTTCTAAGGTTTCAAGTCATGCTTTCAAAGGCAGTTCAAACCGCACCATCGCGGTGGCAATCGCTTCCACCCAGATCCACTTGGAGCTCAGCTAAATCTCACCCCAACTCCGAGAACCTTGGGACCCACACACACACGCACACACGCACACACGCACACACGCACACACGCACACACGCACACACGCACACACGCACACACGCACACACGCACACACGCACACACGCACACACGCACACACGCACACACGCACACACCCGAAGAACAAGAACCACGCAGAACAGCCTTCAGGATGCCAGCAAAGGGCTCGCGCGGCCTCATGCGCAATGGAAAGAGGACACGCCTGTGATAACTGCGAATTTCGAAGTTAATCGGTAAACTTCGCAACTAGCATGGTTGGAACAATTGCCTTTCCGTGCGGCAACAACTCGCGCTTGCAAGGGCAACTGGAAAGGACAACAGGCTCCAAGCGCGCCTGGAGAACATCTGAGGCTGATTTCAGGTTTCTGCAATCGTCGAGTTTGAAACAATTACATGCTCCAAGGACGCCGTTGTCGACGCCGTTGTCGACTTGAGAAGCTTGGAAACTTCGATAGTGAGATTTCTTTTCGTTTCTTTTGTGACGGTTGTGGCTTGGTGGAACAGCCAGGACGCCAACCGTCTTCCGGATTTGATCGAAAGCTCCTTGGCCCAAGCAACCAAAGGTGCGTCCAACCTAGCTATTCAACGTGCTTTACATGGACAATGAAACTCTGCACACTGGCAATATTTCTGTTCGATGGTCTCACTGGCATGGAATTTCAAAGTGGCAGCCTAGGACAATACTTGTAAGCACGATCTAAATAACTACTGCTCATCACGCCTTCTGCGTACACAAGAGTCGCATGAATTTTCGGGATCTTATCATTTCTTCGCCCATCTTTGGTACACAGCTTGATCAGGCTCGGCCCAAAGGCCCAAATAGCCCGGCTGGGGCTGCCAGCGTGCCCTTAAACGAGAAGCCGAAGATGGCGTCCAATGCAACATCGTAGCCTTCGGAGCATCGACAACGAAAGAGGCGCGAACCCAACAAGGCTGCATCTGAAAGAATCCAATGCCTGTGCATGTCACATGGTGCAATGTGTTGCGTCTTGGCTGCTTGGTCGGTCGGTTGGTTGCCTGCTTGGTTGCCTGCTTGGTTGCCTGCTTGGTTGCCTGCTTGGTTGCCTGCTTGGTTGCCTGCTTGGTTGCCCTGCTTGGTTGCCTGCTTGGTTTGAGTAACAGCTCTGTACCATTCTGTACCAGTTTGATTCTGGCCACATCCATCCTTGACGGCGTATGGGCTCATTGCCTTAAAACGCCCTCCCCTCGCCCTGCCTAACGGTTGGGCAACTTAGCTGCACCCTGCTTGCACGATTGCAGCATCTGACTGTGAAATTCTGGATTTTTGGTCCAAGAGTTCGCGCTTTGCCCCGGTGCTTCAACACGCCATCAACATGAAGAACAGCATGACCCCAAACACCTTGCAAAGTATCAAGAGCTGCAAAAGGGCTGTGCAGTTGCGCAATTGGAGGGGGCTGCCTAAACACAGCGCAACAAAAAGACTTGTTGCGTAGCCATGAAAACCGTTGAGGGTTTTGCCGCGCCTGCTTGCTGCATTCTGTCTGCAGTCTACATGTGCGCGTGTGCCCTGTTTTTGTAGCCAACATGTTCACCTGTGTCGTTCTTCTTTCAGAGACTGCCCTGTCGGTGTCGCGTTTGTCTCGGTGCAGTCGTGCCTGAAAGGTCTCCGGGTAGTTCGGAGAGGACCGGGATTTGCAGCTGCTCGCACTGGGTGACCTGAAACTCCAGGAAGCCAAAAGCAAGAAAATAGGGCGGCCTCCCGCATGTAGGTGCAGGTGTAGGGGAGTGCACATATATATATATATATGTATATATATATGTGCATGTGTTGGCTTTGCTTGAGCACAGCTGTCGCCACAGCGCGCCGCGAGTTCAGTGGTCGGGAGATGGCTCCGAATGCACCATGGCTATACGTTTTGTTGATTGAAAGATGTTGTTGTTTCAAAGTTTCTGCAAAAAATGGATGGCATCAAACGAACAAGTGCTGCAAATTAGTTCGGGTAGACGAAGGACAGCAAGAAAGCAGATGCTGTGAGGAAACGATTGCACATGAATGGTAGCAAATGAGCAAATGGGAAAAGGTTGCAATGGCAGCGAAAGAGCCAATTTGCAAGGGTGGGCGATATGCAAACGTGGGAAAGCTGGTTCATGGGGGTGAGCATATATGTATATCAAAGTAAGTACACACACACACACCACGCACACACACACAAACGCAAATAGACACGCGCACAATGGCGCAAGCGCGCACATGCAAACAAGGCACGCTTGAAGAGAAAAAAAGAAGCTGCGAAGGCGCACCCCACGCAACTGAAAGGAGTAGTTTCGGCTTGCTGTATGCTCAAACATCTTTCGCGCCACCGACCATCCTCATGAGGGACGCCATCGGTGGGTGACACTACTCCATGTTGAGACATCCAGCAAGGTGGCGTCCGACCCCGAGAAACCAAGCAAAAACCCGAAGACTTCTCAGGAACAGGGGGCACACACACACACACACACGCCCCGAAGGGGGAACACAGGGCAGCCGAACAAAGGAAAGGAAAAGAAACCCAGCACAGACCAAAACCTGAGAAAACAAAAAGGAAACAAGGAAACCCGCGCGTTCGTCATTCCGTGAGACGAAATTTGGTTTTGCCCTCTTTCGCGCCTACTGCTCAATTGGATTCGCTGGAAGAGGGCCCATAAGGCCGGCGGCGCTGGACAGTGTCTTGGCGTGTAGATCGATCAGGCCGCCATGGAGCAGGTAAAAGCGAAACACGATCCGCATCAGCCGTGAGTGAAGGTGCCGGGCGTGCGCGCACTTCAGGCAGCTGGCCTTCGGTGCAAAGAGCTGCGCTATTCAGCTTCCACACACCTAGGGTATCGCTGGCGATTCCTTTGCCAGCTTCTCAAACTCTTCTTCCGCCATCGCAATGAGAGCCTCTCGCTGTGGCTGCAGGCTCGGAATCTTTGCGTTTCTGCATCGGACGTTGAAAGATCAGCGACCTCAAGTAGTATACACAGATGCCTGCAAGGGGCCAAGGGAGCCTCGGGAGTCATGCGTTGCTGCATTTTGTATGGAGCTTCCCAAAAACTCAAGTACCTTCAGCCTCCCCCCCACCCCACCGCTGCTCCCTTGCACTGATCCTTCAACCCTCAGGCACCCCAAAACGGTTCAAAAGGCGCTGCATATGCTTGGGAAACCTATCTTGCGCTTCTGGCTCCAGTGATTTCACTGACCGGTTTGGACGTCGAGCACACACGGCAGCCAGGAAGGTAAGCGCGCAAAGACCAGCACAAGCACGCCACACACACACAGCGCAAGAATGATGTTGACATCATCATACTCACACCAGCCAGGAAACAGTACGCGCTACATGAAAAAACAAACACCCTAGATGTTGCCCACGACGTGTTGCATCCAAAGAACCAGGTTCGCGAACAGCTGCTTGTCAGATCTCTTCGGATACCTCATCTGGCGTGTCTTCTCACACGATCATCAACTCTCATGGTCAACTTGTTGAACGAGCTGAACTTTGTGGCCAACTTTGCGCCTGCCTAGCACTCAATGGACAGACTCAACGCACAGAAGCTCTTTTGGGGACACTCCTGGATTCAAACCACCTGAATTAGTGCCAGAATCCCATTGATTTGTGTTCCTCCTAGCATAAATTAGAAAGGATTATACGGGCTCCTCTGTAACCGCGCGTAAACCAGGTAGTAGGGCCATCTTCTTTTTTTGGACAATGGAGCTGCTCATGCGATATTGAACGCACATTCTACCAGAAAGGTGGACTTCTTGAGGCTGCAGGCCGTTTCAATCAAGATCTCCAGCAAATGTGCCCTATCTTCTGGAGGGCTTGTGCATAACACAGGGGATCAGCATTCTGGCTGCATGGTGCCAGGCGCAGCACAAATTTCGCGCACTCATCCCCATCTCTTTCAGCAAGCTGAAGCCATGGCACACCACGGTGGCCGAGTAGCCAAAGTGATACCTTGTGTGACTGACAGAAACAAGCAACTGGCAAGATCAAAGCACGGAGAAATGGGAAACCACGCACTGAGTGTGCTGCGTTTGTTCCTATGAAGCAGGATGTTGTGTTCCTCCTACTTGTCAATACGCGCTGCTGTTTGTTTCATGCACGTGCTTACGCGCGCCCGTGTGTGTGTGTGGGTGTGGGTGTAGGTGTAGGTGTAGGTGTATATTTGTTTGTATCTGTGTGTGCGTATGCGAGTGTGTATGTCAATGTGCGTGTGTGTGCGCGCGGCTCGCGCGTGTCGAAGCGCTCCCGCTGTGGCGCCGTGCAAATGTGTCTGGGTCCCAGTGAACCCTTTGCGGAGATCGTGCGCGTCGAAGCGCTCGCTGTGGCGCCGTGCAATTTTCTTACTTCCTTTGCTGGCCAAATTTGAAATGGTCATTGGAGGTTTCCTCGCTTTCACAATCGCGCGGTCGAGGCTTCAATCCCGGCCTGGCCCGGCAGCTATCTTGAAGCTCGCACCTTTTAAGCACAAAAGTAACACGCGAAGCTTTGGCTGAAACATCGTAAGTTTTCACGCGCAAAAGTACTGCACGAATCGCGCTCTTGCAGCTTCAGCACGGAAATCACAACTTTCAAGCGCAACAGTAATGTTGGGGAAGCTCCAGCTTGAAAGTCGCAATTTTACAAGGCAAAAGCAGCACGAGAAGTACACTGCCAGCTCGAAAGTCGAGCAAAAGTAGTATGCGAAGCACACTTCCGCAGCTAAGGCCGCCAGCCGTCTTGCGCACCCAAGCTGTGCGCAGATATGGACAAGACAAAAGAGAGATTGCAGAGAGTCAGCATCGTGCGCAGCATCATGGGCAGCATCCTGCACGGCCACATGCGCAGCATCACGCGCGGCATCATGCGCAACGAGTATGCGAAGCATCATGCGCAGCTGCGGCGCAGCATCAACTGACAGCATCATGCGCAGCAAGTGCAGCATCACGCACAGCTTCACGCGCGGCACCAAGTCACGGCATCACGCGCAAAAGAAACTGACAGGAGATTGCGAAGCATGATGCGAAGCTTGCTCGTCAGAACTTGCGCACGGACATTGGCGCGTTTATGTTTTGTCGCTCGTCAGGCGGGAGAGGCGTCAGAGTTTATGCAACGTTTCTATGCCCGGGCCACCCGTCGTCTAGTTTGTCTGCGGGCTGGTTTGTTTGTAAGCTCGCGCGCTCTTGCAACACCTTGGAACACAGGCGCGGACTTTCGGTATACGCAGGGATAGGGGACTTCGCCTGCGACTGCGAGGCCTTTTGGCCGCGTGTATTGTTTTGGTGCGGTTCAGCGCTGGCGAACTGTTGTTGACCACTGCAGCTGTTCTTCTTGCGCCCCTGGCAAGCAGATGTCATGACTGGTTGCGCCCAGGAGCT